TTCCTCCCCTGTGTGACTACGTTCGCCAAGGCATACCAGGTGCAGCACAGCGTGACACCATTGCGCCCTGCACATGTGATGTGCCGGTCGGGTAATGGGACTTGGCACGGGGGTGGCGGCTGAGGACCGGCGGAAGAAGAGGTGGTAGAGGCGGACATCTTTGCTGGACCAAGGACGTGCAAACTTGGAGGCAAAAAAAGCGGCGTGACTTGTCCAAGTTGCTGGTGCGGCTGTGCCGGCACCACGTTTCACCCAGTGGGCCGTAAAATGACATGTACTGTCCCTGACCGTAGTTACAGCTCCACACGTCGGCGCTGCCGGGCACTTTGGCAGAGACCGACATGCTCAAAGACTGGCCCACCATCTCTTCTACATGTGAATGCAGGGCTGGCACTGCCTTTTTGGCGAAGAAATGCCGGCTTGGCACTCTCCACCGCGGCTCGGCACAAGCCATCATTTCTCGGAAAGGTGCTGAGTCCACCACTTGGAATGGGAGGGACTGCAGCACCAGCAACTTGGACAGGAGGACGTTCAGCTTCTGCACCGTCGGGTGCGTGCTCGCAAACTGTTGTCTCTTGGAAACGGATTCCAAGAAAGACTGCTGACGGAATCCGTGAAGAGGAGTAGCAGGAGAAGGAGCATCTGAACGAGCGGAAGATGCCAACGAGCGACAACTCCCCTCAGCAGAGGTCGGGTGACGGAGCAAGTAACGGAGCGGGTGATGGAGCGGGGGCTGGGGCAGGCAGAACCCGCCGTATCTTTATCACGGTTTTCCCAGGCCACCGAATGGCGACGCTGCATATGCTGACGCAACGCTGTAGTCCCAACATTGGGCCCCCTGGCCACGCTTGACTTTCTGGCCACATAGTCGACATACGGCTAACGTTTACTTCCTCGGGCGCGGCGTGACGAAAAATTGCCACACACGCCGAGTAGGAAACTTTGCCCCCGCTACTCCTCACGGCTGACTGCTACTTCCTCCGTGCACACCGGCACCACTACTGGCCGTGGTGGTAGGCTGCAGTGGAGCTGGTGCTCTACTCCGTGGCCGTTTGGCTCCACTGACACTGCTGCGACCCTGCTGCCTCCTGGGCAACCCACCGACTGTTTTGCTCGCTGGCAAGCTGGCACCCTCTTCTCCTGATGATGCGGAAGCAATAGCCTGATGAGGACGAGGCTGCCAAGTGCGATCAGCCTCATCATCATCAATTAGGGTCTCCGCGTCACTACTAGCCCCCTCGGCTGCGTCTGGGTCAGGAGACAGACCTGTCTCTAGACCGGCTACCGAGCCACTCTCCTCGCCAGTACTTCTTCGCCTGGCTGCTGAAGAGGCGGATGTCTCCCCCCCGTTCCTGACCGCCCTCTGTTAGCTCTTCCTCACTGTACAGTGGGGCTGAGCCCACAGCATGCGATACTTCGCTTGGTGAGGGGAACACCAAAGGACAGGGGCAGGTCGAGGACACGTGATTTCAGTGGGCTTGCTCCCGGGCCATGCCAACTAACGGTTGTGTCTGACGTACCACCGACCGTTGGCTGTAGGTGTCAGAGGTGACCTGGGAAGAGGAAGACGACCGAGTCAACCAATCGGTGACGGCAGGGTTGTCGTTGGAGACACGACTGCTGGATGACACCGGGAGCACTGGCCTCTGGCTGTGACTAGTGCTGCCTCGACCCCTTCCTCTGCTGCCACGTCTGCTCGCTCCTGAAACATTGCCTCCTCTGCCACTCCTCTGCGTGTTGTCTGACATACTCTTTAATTCAATAAGCACCCAAAAAATAAAACCGGATTTAACTCTTTGAACGTACAATAGTGGTTGTGAAGCAGAAAGTCAGTTTATTTAGCACAATCGGTCAATTGCAGCTTGCCGTTGGCTGAAAACTGTACGTTTCTGTCACTGGAATGCACTAATCACCCAAAAAAATATTACCGCCACCCGGCGTGTAAATGGATTTAACTCTTTGAACGTACAATAGTGGTTGTGAAGCAGAAAGTCAGTTTATTTAGCACAATCGGTCAATTGCAGCTTGCCGTTGGCTGGAAACTGTACATTTATGTCACTGGAATGCACTAATCACCCAAAAAATATATTACCGCCACCGGCGTGTAAATGGATCTAACTCTTTGAACGTACAATGGTGGTTGTGAAGCAGAAAGTCAGTTTATTGTACACAATCGGTCAATTGCAGCTTGCCGTTGGCTGGAAACTGTACGTTTCTGTCACTGGACTGCCTAATCACCCAAAAAAATATTACCGCCAGCCGGTGTGTAAATGGATCTAACTCTTTGAACGTACAATAGTGGTTGTGAAGCAGAAAGTCAGTTTATTTTGCAAATCGGCAAACTGATAGCACCAACTGTGCACGACAGCCACCAAAAAAAAAAAAGGGTGTATGTCACTTTAACGATTCTTTGATAGCTGTGGCCCTGAGTAACAATTCTGTGTCCCTGAGTAACGATTCTGTGTCCCTGAGTAACGATTCTGTGTCCCTGAGTAACGATTCTGTGGCCCTAAAGTCTCTGTGGCCCTAACTCTGTCCCTTAATACAGACAGGTCTGTCTCTCTTGAATGACCGGAGGCTAATGGAGAATTCTAAGATGGCCGCGATTTATAGCTCCACCATTACACAGTGCTGGCTGGCTGCTGATTGGCTAATGCGATCACATGTCATGATTCATGACTCATGAATGCATTATGGGTCAGCGCACCTTGTCTGCGCGCCTTCCCAGAGATCCCCGCCCCATCTTCTCTGTCCATTTTCTCCTGTCGCCACACATGTCGACGCCATTTTTGGGAAAATTCGATTCGTGCATCCGAAGTTTGCTAATCTTCGGATTCGTCGCGAATTGAATTTTTTCCAAATCTTCGGAACAAATTCCACTTCGTCATGTTCGATTCGCTCATCTCTAATTAAAGGCCTATTGAACATTTCTATTTTAGGGGTATATTTATCAATGCTTTTGCCAGTTATTCACCAAAAGCTGGCAGATTACATTTAAATCAAGTCCCTTTTGATCGCCAAGAGAAGTAAGGGCTCCATGTACACGGGACGTCTGGAAAACTCCTCTGAACGATGGAAACTGACTGCTGGAAAACGTAGGTCAAAAACGTCAGTTTAGCCGCGTTTGCATACTGCGTTTATGTGCGTTTGCATTCAAAAGCGTTTTTTAAAAGAACCTCAGGAGACCTTCCCAAATGCCCAGAATGCACTGAAAAATAGTAAATTTAAACTATTTCAGGCATTTTGAGAGAAATAGAGAGAGCAGAAGCAGAGAGAGCAGTATGTGTTGAGATGACCGGTCTTTTCTGGTTGTATTCACTATGGACCCCATCATGAGCATAATGCGGCACAATCTACAGCGAAACCTGAAACTGATTGCGCTGGTGTACCGGGTCCATTTGAATACATGGAAAACGCTTTGCATGAATTTCTGATGATGAAAAAAGCTCTGGACAGCATCTGGATATGGAACAGTTAAAAAACGCTTCTAAACGCAAACGCTTATAAACGCCGTTAACCGCGTTGACAAGCATTTGGCATTTGAAACGTCGGTAAAAATCTACTCCTGAATGCAAGTTTGGTGCGTTCAATAAAACGACTGTAAACTCAACTGCCTGTAAACGACGATGTGTACATGGACACATAGGGAAACATTAGGGAGAGTTCAGGGGCTGCTGAAAAAATGCAGAAAAGCTCCTGAACGTCGGTTTATCAGCTGCAGTGTAAGCCCTAAGTCCTCAGCTGTCTAGGAAAGGAGCAGCAATGGCATATAGGAAACATACTTGGCGGTGAATTGACAAAAAAAACTCAGTAGATACTTCCCACATACAAAATCTGCACGTACATTTTTATACTGCTTAGCCAAATATTTGATCATAATAGAATTACAGTTTTTTTTTTTCCACAGTGACTCTAAAGAACCCTTTTGTGGTAAATTAGATACATGTCTGCTGTAAAAAGCTCTGATCGCATTTGGAACATTTAGGTCCCTTCAATTCTCTCTTTATAAAACATTTTCCTTTTAAGAACAAGGGCACAATTTCGTTCCTGTAAGTCTTCCGACTACAAGAAAATTCTCCTTTTTGTATTAACCACTTCCCGTCCGGCCCATGTATGTAAACGGACGGACGGGAGCAGTGCAGGGGCGGGTTGCCATTCATAAATGGCGCCACCATTTTAGCCTGTGCGCTCTTCCCAGGAGCGCCTGGCACACTAATCCAGAGGACAGAGTGGAACACTGATTGCTGTATGGGACCTCTGTGTGAGGTCCCGATCATGTGATCACTGATTGGCCAATCAGTGATCACATGAATAGTAATAAGGAAGACGTCACTTCTGACATCATTGCTTACTACTAGTGAAATCTGTGAATGATCACAGAGATCACATGGTACAGGGCTATTCACAGCCTTGTACCATGCGACAAGCTGTGACCAAATCACAGCTCTTACAATATTTCTCAATGGCTGCAAGAATGCAGCTGGAGAGAAATGATTGCTTTTACAGCCTTTATGGGTGTAAAAGCAATCAGTGTAAGATAAAAGAAAAAAATCTTCATCACCCCCCACAAGTAGTACAGTGTCACTATGGTGACACTGTACTGCTAGGGTGACAGTATGTTAAAAAAAAAATATAAAAAAAATTAAAATGTAAAAACTGTAAATTTTTTTAATTATAATTTTTGGCTATAAACTAATTTGGGTTATCTTTTTTTACTAAAAAGATAGCTGAATACATTTTGGCAAATATTTATAAAGAAAGATTATTTATTTGCAAAATGTTATAAGAAAAACACTTTTCAAAATTTTTGGACATTTTCATTTATATAGCAAAAAAAATAAAAATCCCAGTGGTGAATAAATACCACCAAAATAAACCTTTATCTGTCTCAAAAAAATGTTAAAAAATTCATATGGGTACCGTGTTTGCATGATCGCGCAATTGTCAAAGAGGGGGGTAAAAGTGTCCAGACTTGAAGTGGTTAAGCACTTTCTGAACATCTAAATGACTTCCCTATGTGTTTTCAGGTGTTGAGTCAGAGTTGACTTTACTGAGAAGCACTTTGTACATTTTGAACAGATAAATGGCTTCTCTCCTGTGTGGATCTTCTGGTGATCAATCAGATGTGATTTGTTTCTAAAATCTTTATTACATTCAGTGCATTGATATGGCTTCTCTCCTGTGTGGATCCTCTGGTGTTTAGTAAGATTAGATATACACGAGAAGGACTTGTTACATTCTGAACACCTGAAAGGCTTCTCTCCCGTGTGAATCCTCTGATGTTGTGTAAGATCGGCTTTATTGCTAAAATCTTTATGACATTCAGGGCATTGATATTGTTTCTCTCCTGTGTGAATCTTCCTGTGCTGATTAAGACTTGACATGCATGAGAAGGACTTGTTACATTCTGAACATCTGAAAGGTTCCTCACCCGTATGAATCCTCTGGTGTTTAGTAAGACCGGATATTTCTGAGAAGCATTTGTTACATTCAGAACATCTGAAAGGCTTCTCTCCTGTGTGAATCCTTTGATGTTTCATGAGCATTGTTTTTTTGCAAAAACATTTATCACATTCAGTACACTGATACGGTTTCACTCCTGTGTGGATCATCTTGTGTCTAATCAGTGAACTATCTTGGGAAAATGTTTGATCACATTCAGAACAATGGTATGGCTTCTCCCCGGTGTGAATCCTCTGGTGCTTGATAAGATAGTCCTTTCGTGAGAAGCTCTTCTCACATTCTGAACACACAAATGGCTTTTTCCCCCGTGTGAGTCTTCTGATTATTGAAATTCATTTTTGATCTAAAGGATTTGTCACACTCTGAACAAGAAAATGGCTTTCCATCTGCTCAATCCATCATATTTTGCTGTAAAACCCCTTCAAAAAGGTCTTCTCTTTAATTTGCCTGCAATTAAATTTAAAATGAATGTTTATGTAAATGAGTAGAATACTTGTAGAGTATACATTTTGTAACATTTGAAAACAGGTATTGGCTAGAAATGTGCAATTTTACAAATAGATTTTGTTTCACTAGCCACTTTTCTCTAAAGATGGCTGGGTTACTTCTCACTGTAAGCTGCATTTTGTTACATAGTTAGTCTGGCTGAAAAAAGACAAAAGTTATTGTGACGGAAGCGTAGGCAGGACAGAACGCACACGGAGGATGATAAACACACAAAGTTTTATTGAAATAGGGGAGACACTCAATCAGGCTAGGAAGGTAGCGTCCGGGTACCCAAAAATGGGAAAGATAGGGGAGGAGTCCAAAACAGTTGTAATCCGGCCCACGATTTGGGTAGCGATGACCCGAGCAAGTTTTAATCCAAGCAGGCAGTTCCGGCAAGGGTAATAGGGAGGTTCAATGGGGCAATCCAGGCAGAAAAGGTATGAGTGTTCAATGGGGCAGTCCAGACAAGGTAAGAGGAGAATTCAACGGGCAGTCGAGGCAGGGGAAAATAGCAGCATTCAATGGGGGCAGTCCAGACAAGGTAATAAGGGGAATCATGGGCAGTCCAGGCAGGGAAAATATGGAGATCCAAGGGGGGTAGTTCAGACAGAAGGATATGAGCACTCACGGTTTAGGCAGGAGTAACCTCTGGCACACAGCGGATAGCAGGCAGGAGTATCCTTGGGCACTGGAGAAGCTGTGAGGGGATAGGGTCCAGGGGGCAGGTGGTGAGGCGGGCTTCAGTGAAGACCTTAGAGACCTCCTCAGAGGTAGTTGGGCTGAAGGAGCGGAGTGTTGGGGAGGTGATGGTGTGCGGGGTATTGGGTATAGTGGGGGGTAGTGCGGGGTATGAGGTCGGGGGAGGGTAGGTGGGTTGGAGGAGGGCGGGGGGCTGGGTGGAGAGGTGGATTGTGAGTTAGCAATGTCGTTACGGATTGCGTCAATCTTGTTCTGGAAGTGACTGGCAATCTCGTGGGCAGTGAGTGAGGTGCTGGGTGGGGGGGGGGGGGGGGGAGAGAGCAGGGACTTGAAAGTGGAGAAGAGACGGCAAGGACAGGTGGAGAGGGTGTTGATGAGGGTTATGAAATAGGCTTGCTTGGCGGCGTGGAGGGAGGTGGTGTAGGCGAGGTAGGCGGCTTTATAGAAGGAGAACGCGGGAGGGGATCTGGTTTTGCGCCATAAGCGCTCCAGCGCGCGACTGCGACGTTTGAGGCATTTTGTGTGGTCATTCTGCCAGGGTTGAAGCGGTCGGGGTCTAATGCTACGAGTGGTTAGGGGTGCCAGGGAGTCAAGGGCAGCTGACAGTGAGTCGTTGTATGCAGTGGTGGCCAGGTCAGGGCATGACAGCGGGGGGATGCTTTTCATACAGACAGTCAGCTGCTGGGTGCAGATGGGTCGGGTTCAGATTGCGGAGGTTGCGGGTGATGGTTGGACGCTTCGGGGGGGGGGGGTTGAGGGAGGGGAAGATGGAGAATGTGAGGAGGTGGTGGTCAGAGAGGGGGAAGGGGGTGTTAGTGAAGTCGTGGGGGGTGCAGAGGTGGGAGCAAACGAGGTCCAGGGTGTTTCCGTTGGAGTGGGTGGAGGACTGGGTGTGCTGTGTGAGCGCGAAGGAGGAGTTGAGAAGGAGGAGTTGGGAAGTAGCCGGGCTATTGGCGTTGATCGGGATATTGAAGTCGCCTAGGATGATGGTCGGTAGCTCGGAGGAGAGGAAGAAGGGAAGCCAGGCAGCAAAGTCGTCAAGGAAGGGGGATGCGGAGCCAGGAGGCCGATAGATTACTGCAATCCGTAGGGGGTGTGGGAGAGAAGAGCCGGATGCAGTGGGCCTCGAAGGAGAAGGATAGAGAGGGAGGGTTAGGGAGGACCTGGAAGGTGCTCAGCGGTGGTAGGAGCAAACCAACCCCTCCGCCTCTGCGTCCACTCGGTCTGGTTGAATGGGTCCAGACGAGGCTTCCATAGGAGAGGACAGCAGGGGAGGTGGAGTCAGTGGCTTGGATCCAGGTTTCGGTAACCGCTAGGAGGTTGAGGGAGTGGGAGACAAAGAGGTCATGGATGGCGGGGAGCTTTTTGCAAACCGAACGGGCGTTCAGGAGTGCAACCGAGAGGGGGGGTGGATGTGGGGAGGAGGGGGACAGATATGAGATTGAGGGGGTTACGGTGGTTGGCGTGTGAAGGGGGGTGCTGGGTGGGGGGGTGGGGAGATGGAGGGCCAGGGTTCGGGGAGATGTCACCGGCGGTTAGGAGAAGGAGGAGGGTGAGGAAGGTGGCATGGGAATGGGAGGTGCAGGAGCGCGAGGGTCGGTTGGTGGTGGCTTGTGTGTCGGCGGGGGAGTGGAGTAATAGGAGGAGGTGGTGAGAGCCGTAGAGGGGGGAGGGAAGAAGTGAGGGTGCGATGTAGAGGTGTTTTGTGTAATATACATGGTGTAATATACATGGTGATCATATCCCCCCATGTATTTATGTATTGTATACATGGTGATCATATCCCCCCTCATGTATTGTACATGGAGATCATATCCCCCCTCATGTATTGTACATGGAGATCATATCCCCCCTTATGTATTATACATGGTGATCATATCCCCCCTCATGTATTATACATGGAGATCATATCCCCCCTCATGTATTATACATGGAGATCATATCCCCCCTCATGTATTATACATGGAGATCATATCCCCCCTTATGTATATACATGTATTATACATGGAGATCATATCCCCCCTCCATTCATATCCCCCTTATGTATTATACATGGAGATCATATCCCCCCTTATGTATTATCATATCCCCCCATACATGGAGATCATATCCCCCCCATATATGTATTTATACATGGTGATCATATCCCCCTTATGTATTTATACATGTATTATACATGGAGATCATCATTATGTATTATACCCCCCTTATGTATTATACATGGTGATCATATCCCCCCTTATGTATTATACATGTTGATCATATCCCCCCCTTAATCTCCTCTTCTCAAGAGAGAATAATTTCAGTTCCTCTAATCTTTCCTCATAGCTTGTGACTGGTTATTGCCAGGTTGCCCTAGGTTTTAGACGTCTCTCTGCTCAAGGCAGCACAGAAAACTTTGTGATACATGACTGACAGCTCAGCTTAAAAAAGTACAGTATCTTTTTCCTTTTTTTAAAGCAACCGTATGACAGTGGTATGGTCATATCACTGCGTTTTACTGGGCCTGGGCCAGTGAGCTAGCAGTACACAGGAAAGTTGAACATAAGTGTAGAAAATCTTACATAAGTAAAAAAAAAAAAATATCAGTTAATATGCTGTAATGATATGTAACATTTTTATGTCCACTATCTCTATATCTATAAAACAAATCCACGTGCACTTAAATATCAACCACTGTCATAATTCCAAATGAGCTGGGTTCAATCCAAACTTCGTTTGAATCCAGTTTGGCAGAATCCATGGGAAGTTGTCACATTCTGGTATCCACATATTGGGTAACTACATTCATAAAATATAGCCATGTGACCATATTAGGTCAATGATATCACTACCATCCCCACTCTTTGGTGTATCGTATTTTTTCGCTCCATAAGACGCACTCCCCCCCCAAAAAAAATGGGGGAAAATGTCTGTGCGTCTTATGGAGAGAATATGGAGTGGCCAGCACAGTATCCCCCCCTGTAACCGTGTTAGAATACCCGGCCGGCCGCTTGGCTCTTCTGTGCAGCAGAACATGCTCTTCAGTCCTACCTGTTCCTCAGTCCAGCGGTGTCCTCACCGTCTTCTCTCCCTGGCGCCGGCATCTTTAGTGTGGGCACCCAACTGTGACAGCTTGGTGCCCACTGAGCATGCACGAGGAGCGCTGCACTTTGTGAATGGCCCTGCTAGTCTTCTGGGACCGGTCATGTGTCCCACAAGACTATGGGGAGGGTGGGAGCGGGTACCTGTCAAATTCGGGTACCCGCTCCCCGAAGGTTCGCAGTCTCTGGCCATCTCCTATAAAATAAACATGCAGCGCTAAAAAGATCAATAGCTAAAGACCATCTAAGTAAAAAATCCAACTTTTATCTGAGTGATCTGAATAATCATAGAATGATTAACAAATGATTTGTATAACTGATAGCATCTATGGTTGAATCAATATAACTCGAAAACGCAGTTGACGTGCAAATAGACTTTGTGAGGAACGTCCAAACTTTAAAAGTTTAAAAGTGCATATAGTGAAGTGAAATTCAATCAATGATCAGTGTAAATCCGTGATAGTGGTATTAAGATGAACGAGTATAGATTGCACTAACCAGATAGCGCAAGTCAATGCACATTTGAGTACATTAGGACCAACTCCTGGTCATCAGCATCTAGTAACTGGAACACCGGGTCATCTGGTGGGCATCAGTGGGATCTGCAGCGCACCATCAGGGCATCCAGGCACCAGAAATACATTCATGCAAACACCAGGGGGAGTCACACTTGCAGTGTAAAGTCGCCAAGGATCTCATCTCGGGTGGCCAGTTGGTCACTTATCTGTTCTGCTTCTTCAACATCACCCCTCTGTACTGACAAATCCAAACTCTGCTCCAGACGGGACTTCTTCAGCACATTCTGACACACAGGAGGATTAAGGTGGTCACTGATCCCAAAGTATTTCTGAAAGGTATCCAGAGCTGGGACCTTCTCT